GGCCTTAAAACTGAATATCGGCCATCGGCCACCCCACCGATATTTAACCCGATATTTGATCAGCTTCTGAGTTTCTAAAGTCTAAAAAAAAAAAAATACTACTTCTTCTTCTTCCTCAAAAACTTATTTTTTACAGACTTAAAAACTTCTAAAGACGAGGGAAAAAATATTGATACATTAAAATATCCCAATATCTTCATATGCTGATATATTGCCATTTCAAAACACCATATCAATCTCTTTTACTAATGAAATATTGCTATATGTCATCGTTATGCTACGAAATCCCCCGAAAATTCACAAAATTTTGCCATATTTTTATATGTTGATATATCGATCTATTTTACTAATAAAATCTCACAAGAATTTGCGAAATATCACGAGAGTTTGTAACAGAACAATGAAATTTCACGAGATTTTGAAAGTAAAATAGATCGATACCGCGTTTTTAAAAATCAATTTGATATCAGCATATGAAAATATATTTGAGTATATTGTTTTTCAAAGTGTCAGAAATGGATAACAAAACTGCTATTTTCAATTACTACTTTTTTTTTGTCCAGCTTTAACATCGGTATCGATATCGGTTATCGGCTACATGAGTTTTAAAATGTAGGCATATCTACGGTGGCTGAGTAGTGCAAAACACATTTACAATTCAAAAACACATTAACAAATAAAAAACAAAATAACATTTGAAGAAACAAAATTATATTTTGTGAAACAAATGTATTTTTGAAAAAAAAGTTTAAATTTTTAAAAACAAATTTACATTTTAGCAAACAAATTTACATTAACAAATAAACAAAATAACATTTGAAGAAACAAAATTATATTTTATGAAACAAATGTATTTTTGAAAAATAAAAGTTTAAATTTTTAAGAACACATTTACAATTCAAAAACACATTAACAAATAAAAAACAAAATAACATTTGAAGAAACAAAATTATATTTTATGAAACAATTTATTTTTGGAAAAAAAAGTTTAAATTTTTAAAAACACATTTACATTTAAGGAAACAATTCACATTTTAAATAAGTTAGATTTTAGGTGAGAGAAAGTTTCATTTTAGAGAAAAAAAATACATTATAGGGAAACAAATTTACATCTAAAAAAAAATTGACCGTTCGGAAACACTTGTACTAGTGCAAAGACAAAACTGCAAGTGGCAAAACACATTTACATAGCCAAAAACAAATTAACAGAAGACGGCTACACGGAAAGGGAATGTCCCAGTGACCGGATGTGACGTCACGATTACCCTGACTTGTAGTACAAACAGCTCAATCTGTAGTCCTCCTGCTTCACGTGAAAAGTCAGCGGCGATTTTAGATGGAAAGAATTGCACTGAAGCTGTTTTTCTTAAGTTTACGCTAACCGAACAATGTTTTCAGCCAATTTACACCATTTTGTTCTTCGTGCGGACGGTCTCTGGAACTTTTACGGGACACGGACCAGGTGGCAGGACCAAGCTGCAGGGCCGGGCGTATTACTGGCCAGAGCCACTATTATTTTGTCATGTAGTTTTTTAATTACTTTTCTTTGATATTTAATTCTTTTTTGGGTATTTTTCCTGCCGTTTTTCGGCAAATGCCTTATTTATAGTACTTCTAACTAGATTGTTTTATATATATATATAGGCTATATATTGTGATGTTATCGCTTAATAACCTGTATTAAAATGTATTCTTTATGGGTTTCTTTTTATTGTGATGTTATTGCTTAATAAACTGCATTAAAACTTTTATAATGTCACATTTACTTGATGGAACGGAGTACTTTATCTGCGAATAAGTGGCCTCGGCCGGCAGCAGCCACCATCGGCCTCTCCGATGGCAAGCTCTGCCGGCAGCGGGCAACAACGGCCACTCCGATGGCAGGCTCTGCCGCAGCCACTGCCACGAATTGAGCTCGGCCCTGCTGCTTGGTCCTGCCACCTTGTACCGTGTCCCGTAAAAGTTCCAGAGACCGTCCGCACGAAGAACAAAATGGTGAAAATTGGCTGAAAACATTGTTCGGTTAGCGTAAACTTAAGAAAAACAGCTTCAGTGCAATTCTTTCCATCTAAAATCGCCGCTGACTTTTCACGTGAAGCAGGAGGACTACAGATTGAGCTGTTTGTACTACAAGTCAGGGTAATCGTGACGTCACATCCGGCCACTGGGACATTCCCTTTCCGTGTAGCCGTCTTTTGTTAATTTGTTTTTGGCTATGTAAATGTGTTTTGCCACTTGCAGTTTTGTCTTTGCACTTGTACAAGTGTTTCCGAACGGTCAATTTTTTTTTTTAGATGTAAATTTGTTTCCCTATAATGTATTTTTTTTTCTCTAAAATGAAACTTTCTCTCCCTAAAATCTAACTTATTTAAAATGTGAATTTGTTTCCTAAAATGTAAATTTGTTTTTAAAAATTTAAACTTTTTTTTTCAAAAATACATTTGTTTCATAAAATATAATTTTGTTTCTTCAAATGTTATTTAGTTTTTTATTTGTTAATGTGTTTTTGAATTGTAAATGTGTTTTTAAAAATTTAAACTTTATTTTTCAAAAATACATTTGTTTCATAAAATATAATTTTGTTTCTTCAAATGTTATTTTGTTTATTTGTTAATGTAAATTTGTTTGCTAAAATGTAAATGTGTTTTTAAAAATGTAAACTTTTTTTTCAAAAATACATTTGTTTCATAAAATATAATTTTGTTTCTTCAAATGTTATTTTGTTTTTTATTTGTTAATGTGTTTTTGAATTGTAAATGTGTTTTGCACTTCTCAGCCACCGTACATATCGGATATCGGCCAAAATCCCAATATCATGCATCCCTAATTATTTCAATAATCCATTAAACACAATTAGTCTATTAATTGTTTCAGCCCTATTTTTTTTTTCCACAGATGAAATTTCTTCAGAGATAATATGATAATAGTTTAAATCAAAGTGCAGGTCAGTCTCAGACAAGAACCAGTTACAGGCCACAAAAATACTTTCAGCACCACAACTGCAACAGAATCGATCAGTTCAATGTGCTTTCATCTCAACCTGTATCAAACTGGGAACCTGAACTAAGGCTTTACATTTCTGTGTACAGTGGTCTCCAGCCAAACTGATTGAGCGTGAGGAATTTTGCAAAGAACGGGCAAAGAATGAAGTCTTTAGAACAGGAAAAAAAAAACTGTTAAGACATACCATTTAATAATTGGGGCAGGTAATCAATGGAAGCTCAACACTTTACCTTCTTAATAAGATGCTACTTTGGGTTGACCATCACAGGTGTAGTGAGGCTCTGTGTGTGTGTGAGAAAGGTAAAGCATGAGCAGTGACAGTGCAAAGGCCTAGCAGGGAGAGAAGAACCTCTCCACTTCTCCAAAGCATACTGCTTTAGCGCCAATACATTTTTGATGGACCCCCTTTTTCTTACTTCTGCTTCTCCCTAGTCCCTGATGGAATAACAGCGCCCCCAGCAACCTTCTATACAGCTTAAATTTACCCTGTGACGTTTGCAATGCGTAGGCGTTTTAGTGTGTCGTTGTGCATGTGTGTGTGTGAATGGTAGAAGAGTGGGAGCAAAGACAGACAAATAGAAAGACAGAGAGAGACTCTGAGAAAAGGAGAAAATGTTCCCCCTTGCCTATTAAATATTTGAGGAGCCTTCTGTGGAACTGTGATGCATTCAGAGACAGGCCTGTGTTTGCGCTGGGTGAAGCAGGGAGATTCAGCGCCGTTTAGGTTTGGACTAAATCAGCCGTGAGCAGGAAAGAGCGCTTTCACTGTTTATGAGGCATGGGAGATTCTCACGGCATGACCTTAACCTTAAATAAAAATATCACCGTTTCACTAGATGTAAACAAAAATATGCTTGTTTGGTGATGTTTTGCTGTATATATATGTAATATATGCTGAAAATGCATTATTCAAAACATTATAATGGTATAACTTTTATTGAATAATGGTATTTTCAATATATTACCAATGAGTTTGGGAATTACATAAACTATACACCCGTTAAAATTCCCCCTAGTTCAAAAGGTAATACCATTTAAAGTCTGGTACAGAAAATGAGAGATAAATTAGCATTTAGACTGATTCTTTTACCAAAAAAAGACAAAAACATTACATGATTGTAAATGTGTTTTATTGTAAGTTAAGAGATTTTGGTCACAGATGTATATTTTTTTTGGCCAGAAATGTTTGTCTAGTTTTTTTTCTGAGACAACTACATGAAACAAGCGTGAAATAATTGTCAACTTTTTAGGCAACAAAGATGTGCAGCAACAGGTGAGGCCAGGCAACCTTTAGAAAAGAAATAATATATATATATATAGTTTCTGTTTGACTTATATCAGTTTTGAAATTTGAAATCGAAGCTTTCATCAACCTTGATATAGCCGGATGCCAATAACTGGCACATCCCTGCAGTTTATTCATCTAACAGGGAGGAAGAAGGTACAAACAAGTACCGAAAGAAGCCAGGGTGCAAGAAAAGGAGAAGAGGGTGTCACAAAGCATTAGTCAGATGGACCAGGGTTGCTCTTGTGCCATGTCAATGAGAGGAGAGAGAGAGAGAGACCAGGGGAAATGTGTTTGCATGCTTTAAGTGTGTAATGCATGAGTGTGCAGGGCCTGCAACCAGTTGAGAAGAGGTAAAAGCTTTCTGTGTGTGAGAGAGAGAGAGAGAGAGAGAGAGAGAGACAGAAAGAGAGGGAGAAAATCTCCAGACAGTGATGAGAAGAGGAGGCAGCCTGCCCTCATTGTTTAAAACAAAAGAAGCCCCTTGAGCTATGTATATATACAAAAAAATCCAGTATTTGTGTGCTGTGTGTGTATGTGCTGCTTTTTAGCCAGAAAACTAGTAGCACAATGTAAACAAACTGGATGGTTCAGATAGCATATGTCAAACAGGAAAGTCTGCTGCCCACAGGTTAGGTTTATATTAAGAGGCATGCTTGGTAGACACACATGCATACACCCCCCCTGAAGGCAAAGTTTAAGGAAAACTCACTTGGGATTGGAGCTGTTCCAGTAAACGGCGTGCCTGTCAAATATGATCTTCTCCTCCGCCCACACGGTGACCCAGGACAGGACGGCCAGCAGCACCAGCTCCATCACACACCTCTGTCCGAGCTGGTGAAGCATCACAGCCATCCAAACGGAACCTGTCTCTGTATCAAGCGGATCGGGCTTCTTCACTGCGGTGCTGCAGAAATCCTCTCCTCTAGATCCGAAATGTCCGTCTGCGCTTCTTTGGCGGTGCGGGGATCGTTCGCTGGTTTGATTAGAGTCCCGATCTCCCCCAGGAGTGTTTCAAGTCATAATGGATGGTTAGAAATTCACTAGGAAACTTGGTCTGATGCGTTCAGAAGAAGCGGGGTTCACATGTTATTTACAAGTGGCGGGATGATGCGAGCGCCTCCGAAACTTTTCTCCCATTACGCGCAGTCGGAGCGGTGGATGCGCCACTTGGATCAGATCCCAATCAATTTCCAAAATCCCTCCAACACCCGGGCTTCTCGCAGCTTAACATAAACGGGACAAAATCCGCATAGTTTTATAGCTTTCTTGAGGCGCCAGAGGAGAAGAAATCTTCACACCTTCCCTTTTATTTTGCGTTCAGATTTAAAGCGCAATAACAGCTGCGGGACGCCAGCATCCTCTCTCAATACATCCCAACTTGGTGATCCCTCCGCCGCCGCCGGCTCCGCTCCAACGTGACTCCGGGAACCTGTGCGTCACGCTAAGACCAGGTGCGCGCGGGGAGCCGTCGGTCCACTCACTGCTTTAATCCCAGCATGTTTCTGTGCAGCCTCTACCTATGGCGGCAGCATCACTCACTGAAACCCTGATTTGGAGAGTAGCCCTCGCCCACACTTTTTTTTTCTTTTTCTCTCATCATCGCTCCTTCTCCTTTGGAACGGGCGGGGCCAGTGGCCGCGCAGTGCCGCGCTCCCTCTGGGGACCTGAGGGGCCGGCTGACTCACTGCGCCCTGGAACACAACTGGGAGTGAATAGAGGTCATTAAACGCTCATTAAAAGTTAATCAACTTTAAATCTGACATAACTGTCTGTTTGTTTTTTGTTCAGTAAATGTGTGACATTAAAGCTCAAGCAGAAACTTCATTTTCTTAAGATAACTAGTTTTGACCCTAGCCGGCCTGTGTCATGACCAAACTAAGCAACTATATATAGTTTCCAAGATTTCCTTTCATTGCATAAAACATAAAAAATCTCATAAGGTTAGTAATCGATCAAATAAGGAATGCTTATTTGCGTTTGTAGGAAGGGCATCAGTTAATGTTTAACCCTTTAAAACCAATTGTATCATATTTGATACATGAGTTTTTAAGATCTTTGCATCATCAGTGTGATCTTGCTTATCTTAAAAACCCTGACTTACACAAAAAACGTATATAATATTCTACAGAAATGCCGAATGTATCAGAATTGATCCAAATAAAAGATTTAATTTAACTTATACAATATATATATATATATATATATATATATATATATATATATATATATATATATATATATATATATATATATATATATATATATATATATATATATACACTCATCGGCCACTTTATTAGGTACCCCATGCTAGTAACGGGTTGGACCCCCTTTTGCCTTCAGAACTGCCTCAATTCTTGGTGGCATAGATTCAACAAGGTGCTGGAAGCATTCCTCAGGGAGTTTGATCCATATTGACATGATGGCATCACACAGTTGCCGCAGATTTGTCGGCTGCACATCCATGATGCGAATCTCCCTTTCCACCACATCCCAAAGATGCTCTATTGGATTGAGATCTGGTGACTGTGGAGGCCATTTGAGTACAGTGAACTCATTGTCATGTTCAAGAAACCAGTCTGAGATGATTGCAGCTTTATGACATGGCGCATTATCCTGCTGAAAGTAGCCATCAGAAGTTGGGTACATTGTGGTCATAAAGGGATGGACATGGTCAGCAACAATACTCAGGTAGGCTGTGGCGTTGGAACGATGCTCAATTGGTACCAAGGGGCCCAAAGAGTGCCAAGAAAATATTCCCCACACCATGACACCACCACCACCAGCCTGAACCGTTGATACAAGGCAGGATGGATCCATGCTTTCATGTTGTAGACGCCAAATTCTGACCCTACCATCCGAATGTGGCAGCAGAAATCGAGACTCATCAGACCAGGCAACGTTTTTTCCAATCTTCTATTGTTCAATTTCGATGAGCTTGTGCAAATTGTAGCCTCAGTTTCCTGTTCTTAGCTGAAAGGAGTGGCACCCGGTGTGGTCTTCTGCTGCTGTAGCCCATCTGCCTCAAAGTTCGACGTACTGTGCGTTCAGAGATGCTCTTCTGCCCACCTTGGTTGTAACGGGTGGTTATTTGAGTCACTGTTGCCCTTCTATCAGCTCCAACCAGTCTGGCCATTCTCCTCTGACCTCTGGCATCAACAAGGCATTTCCGCCCACAGAACTGCCGCTCACTGGATGTTTTTTCTTTTTCGGACCATTCTCTGTAAACCCTAGAGATGGTTGTGCGTGAAAATCCCAGTAGATCAGCAGTTTCTGAAATACTCAGACCAGCCCTTCTGGCACCAACAATCATGCCACGTTCAAAGTCACTCAAATCACCTTTCTTCCCCATACTGATGCTCGGTTTGAACTGCAGGAGATTGTCTTGACCATGTCTACATGCCTAAATGCACTGAGTTGCTGCCATGTGATTGGCTGCTTAGAAATTAAGTGTTAATGAGCAGTTGGACAGGTGTACCTAATAAAGTGGCCGGTGAGTGTATATATATATATATATATATATATTCTTTTTCTTCCATTTTTCAGAGTTCAATGACAACTCTAAATAAACAAAATTTTATTTCTCTGTCAATTATTTCATGGTCCAGGCTTTAAAGGGTTAAAATGACTTTCATTGCTTTCATAATATAGATTTCTGCCTTGCTTTTTTTTATCAGTTGGGGTGGCCATCGCGCCCCCCATGTCCACTGCATTGCTCAGCTCTCTGTATTGACACCGAATATGATGCATGGGATGCGCCAAGATTAAGATCTGCTTGAAAGATGCTGCCCGATGGATCAGCATGGAGAGAAGGAAGGAAGGAGAGAGCGTTTTGATGGATTGCTGGAACAGTGGAGTCAATTTTCATTAGAGTCTATTAGGGCCCAAATGGTACGAGGATGGGGAGCCAAATTCAAAAGGTGAGAGCCACAAACCTTCTGACAGCTAACAGTGGTGATTCATACTGAATGCTACACATTCACAAGGTGTGCTGTCATTAAAGAAATGCACTTAATTATGCACCATTGAAATGCTTTACACATTGAATGTAATTACATCCTAAATAGATTTTTCTGTACATTGAGTAAAATAATGGGCAATTCTTTTAAAGTACAAATAACTTTTCTCATTTTTTTTTATTTTGCATTCTTGCACCTCTCCTTCAAACATGCTGCCCAGAGCAGAGAGCCAAGTCACCAATTACCAAAACCCACCATTGTCTGCCAGACCTGATATCCCTCTATTTCTGCAAATGTGAGCAAACTCCTGAGCTGAAGCAGCATCTGTCTGTATTTGGTCTGTGCCCAGAGGGAGGTGGATACATTTGTTAGTGCATTGTTGCACACGGCATCCACAGGGTGCTCCATGCTGTTTCTAACATGTGTTTACAAGTTGCCTTATGCAGATCCTGAAACGAGGAGGAATTCCATCTTTGCACAGTGAGAAAATGATTCAGTGAAACTATTTGCAACTATTTCATCTGCATTTTCAAGGACAAAATAAGTTGTAAAAATGTTAATTTAACTCAGTTTGAAGTGAATTCTACCATATTATATGTATACATATATAAAAAAGAAGGCAGAATATGTATCTCCACCATTCCAAAATCATGTAGGCCATCTTAAACTGAACCTTTCTGCAGCTCCATCTTTCCCATTTCATTTTCTATCTCTCTTAGATCCTTTATGCAAAGTGGCCTACTTTTGCTCTTCCTGCAAAGTAATGCCTGTAATTTGGGATTTGCACATTCCGGCAGTGAAAGAGCCCATGCACCCCACCCCCCATAACCCAAATACAGCCTCATGTTGTCCGCCTCTGTGTATGAATTATTCAACATCTGTCTGAGGCGTGCATATATAAACAGGTTGTCTCCTGGTGGTTTTTTTAAATGGAGCCACTATATACTAAAGGCATCTCTCACCTCAGTTTCAGAGTTTTCCTGCATCTGTGTCACCATGAAACCGAGTCCAAATCTCATGTAAGCTGACTAAACAATACTGGGCTGATTCGGATAAGGCAGCGTATTTAGTCAGCTTAAATCTGGATTCCAGTCTACTTTGAGGAGTGTTTAATCTTATACCTTACAGCTGGTTAAGTGTGTAATTGCCCTGCAGTGTGACTTGAAACAAGGACACAGAGGCAGAGATGAATTCGAAATGTATTTTAAGCAGAAAACAGAATTGAAACAGTCTTTTCTTTATTTAAAAGTGCAACTGACAACATTCGATATGGTCTTGTTGACTTGTCTGGCATTAGCAGTAACAGATCACATCACAGTTTATTCAGAACTTGAACCGCTTTAACATCCCCACCCCACCTCTTTTTGTAAACCCAGAAGGTTCACATTTGTGTGGCCTTAGCAGTCCCTGATTAGAGACTGCTCACTAATGTAAATAATTGCCTCCAGATGTGGTTGAATTACAATCTCAAATGTGATCAATCAGCCGTGGGCTCAGAAATTCTGGGGACCTATCAAAGGTTTGAATTCTGAAAGCAAAGGTGAAACAGGTGACAACGTTAGGAATAATAAATAATCGTTGGTTTGGTTTTAATAGAGGTTTTGATAAAGACATAGCACGGTTAAAAGAATGTATGGGTGTGGGAAAAAATGTTTTTGGCGATATATTGTGATTTTTCACTGCCTGACATAATATCGATCTTTCAGTTCATAGTATAATTTTTTTTTTTTAAAGAAAACATTTTTACCTAAACATATGAGTGGAAAATGGGCTACCTCTGCACCCCCACTCTGGCACATAAAACTGTGGAGCCTTTTTGTTGTGCTTCGCCATATCTGTAGTTGAGGCAGTCACAGTGGGAGACATGGACGGACTAGAAACCTTAATAATATCAAAATAACTAAATGATCAAGATCTTCTGTTAAACATATGCACCAATGGCTTTTTTATATATACATTTACTTTTGATAGCTGGTAAAAATATATGGATATATAGTGATGTTGCCATATTGTGATATCTCATTGTGATCCAAGTATCGTGATGGAAAACGCCAATATTCGCTCCCAAAAGAAAGCAGAGCTTTTCCAAGACTTTGAGTTAGTTTCTCTAGTCTTTATAATTAGATACCAGAGAAGTGCTGCAGTAAATAGCATATTCCACCAGTTGTGTTGATTTTATTCCTCCCCTTATTTGTTGCTGCTACTGTATGTTTTTCTCACTTACTAGGGGAATAGTTTGTAACATTTTGGATATTTCTGGTTGAATACATTCAGATTTTCTGAATATAGAACATTTGATGATGCAACACTGTAGACTTTAGCTATACTATCCTTTTCTAGGAAAAAGAATTTGACAGTAGATATTAGCGGACTTATTCAATTTCTGCACAAGGTTATCACATCAAGAATCTCATCCTAACCTTTTTCTTATGCCCAGGATTATAAATAACAAACCATAATCTTTCAGCAATTGTTTTGGTTTGTTATAGTTATGTCATCTAACCCTTCAGCTCATTTGCATTTCAATATATTCCAAAGAAGATTTAGCATGAACTTCTTTCTGCATCGCATTTTGGGTGAGAAATTCTCAAAGTTAACAAGATGCTGAAGTAACAGAGCAGGATGAAAGAAAAAAAAACATTTTAGTACACAGTCCACCGTTATCTGGACTTCAGACCAAATGTCTGAACCTGGGCTGAGATGCAGCAATGTTGCAAAGCTTTGCAACATGGCAGAATCTGATGCCAGGATTTTTCATCTCGTAAGAAGCACCGTTTGTGAGATATATTAATTTATGCCGTTTGTAGAAAATAAAGTTTCAAAGCATTGTGAAACAGATAGAGTGTAAAACCCTGATTCAGACCAAAGGTGCTACCAAGTCTGTTCAATTATAGTGTTAAACCAAATCTTTTTAACATGTTTACTGATGCCAATGCATTTGTTTCTAAGCAAAAATACATGCATCATCAACCATCAAACCAATACATTTATCAATTAACAGAACTGAGAGAAAATGTAAAAAGGGCCTTTTTAAATCGATATATTTACTGTAGAACTTGAAAAGCACTCAATTACTGTTGAACCGCTGTCTCAGAAAGGATTCTATGTCATATAATGAGAAGGTAGTTCAGCCTGAGAGACTGAATTCCACAGCTCTAAGCATCGTGGTTCTAATTTTCAGTAGTAGAATATTGGATTTAGGTCTAGGATTTCTACCCCACAAGTTAAATCTTGTTGGTTGAGAGACAAGATGGCAACATGTTTTTTTTTTTTGTTTTTTTAAACGGTGAACTCTGACCTCTACAACATAAATATCTACGGTAATAGAAAATGAGCTTAATGCTGAAACACGACAACCCCTCAAAGAATGATGCTATCAATAAAATCAGCATCATGCATGTCATAAAATTTTGTCATTGATTTCTACGGCAACATTGTTTTTTGTATTGAAATATTTCTCTTAACAGTAAATGATTAAGCTGAGGTTGAAGTACCAGATATTTTTATTACTGAACATTTGTGATAAAATTATTTTCCCAAATCCTCAACATACTTATCCTGACCTGTATTCTATACAAATTCCACTCACTAGAAAACATTTGCATAATGGCTTACAATAGAATGGGGCTGGTATTTTAATACCTAGCATCATTACACATCAAGATGAATTCAATAATTTGTTAGATTACCCTCAGCTCAAAAATGCTAAATACTAAGTAAAGTCCTCAGATATTCACATCAAGTACTAAAATACATGGCAGGTTGTAACCTTTAGCGGTTAGACCAATTATATAAACCAAGAGCTCCACCTACTGGTAGAGAATATACAACCAATGTGGTTTTTGTCACCTGTATTGTTTTAATCCCAAAGAAATTTTGATATGAATGTCAGATATATTTTGAAGAAAATAATCCAGTTTATGAGATATGGTGACTTGGATCCTGCAGGAACATTTCCTCTATGTTGTAAAACTGAAAAGATCAAAGCAAAATGCAGTGCAAATGTAAAATATTCAATAAAAGAACACAAACATTCAGCTAAAGGTTCTGTCGCCCGCCAAAGGATGAAGCCGATTCCAGATGCGAAGTCAAGTTTGAAGTCAGATGGTATGTAGATGAAGTTGGAAATGCAGTGAAGGACGTCAGGTACAACCCACCAGTAGTAAACAGGATGTGGAATATAGGAAATGTTACAGAATTGTTAACCAGCAGATTGGCAGCATCACAGAAAAGCAAAAGAGACAGAAACCAAATGAGGCCAGATGAAAGAAAGAACAAACTAAAGATTTATTAAAGGCAGCAGAAGATGCAAGAATGGCAAAAACAAAAAAAAACAAAAGGGGGGAGCGGGTGGGGCACATACAGACACACCTCCGTGTTCAGATAGTTTAATGTCTTTGTGTTACAAAAGTTTTTTTTATTTTTCCAGCTCTGAGGAGCTTCATATGTCTTTGCGGTTTATCAAAATATACATGTTTTGAACTTAAAGTGAATATAATCCAAATTCTTTTGTGGTACAAAAACATGAATATATACAATCATGAACCCCACATCATACATTTAACCCCAACCCGCCCCTTATAAAAAGAAAAATAAAAGCTTTTAACAAAAAAGGCATATAATCTTCTAAACTGTTATCACAGCTAAAGACTGTTCAACGAAGCTTTTATTCTAAAGCCATCTCTGCCAAAGTAGGCTCTTTGTAAAGTGAAAACAAACAGTATAAACCGTCACCTTAACGACTTCTGAATTCAATCCTTGTGGTTTTGCAGAACAGCAGGAATGTGTCTTAAAAAAAAAATAATCAACATTTGAACACTAGAAAATAGCCGGGGGTAAATTACACTTTGGTCCTTAACAGCAAAAACCGTCTGCAGCTACATGAAGCTTTGAGTCATGCATAAGAAACTTTCACATGAATAGAAACAGAAGTCATCCATTACTGGTCCAAGACTACAGTGGTCAGGATTGTGGAAACTGGTGCTTGAGGCCTGCAGGAATGTGAGATTGTTTTTAAGACTTCAGTGTGATGGTGTCTGTTTTGACTTAAAGGAAAAGTGCACAAGCTGACTGTGGCTAAGCTGGACAGAGGGGTAATGAGGCTTTTCAAACCTTTAAAAAACTAACTTTTTTTAATGAAATGCAGCTTAAGACTTTAATTCATAAACTTGTGAATGCCTCCAAGCTGCCCTCTCAGTTGGGATTTACCTGAATGTTTTTGTTTTTTTGTAAAGGCATCTGTGCAGACAGGATTGATAAGATTTAAAAGAGAGGTAAACAAAGTCCACTGACCAGGCCTGTTTCAGCATTGGAATAAAAGGTCAAAGGGACAAGGCACTCCACTAGCCATCAAACTCAGCTACTTAGAAGCACAAGTCAGTTAAATATAGGCAAAATACATGTAGATCTACTACTAAAAAAAGATAAATGAATATAGTTTTACACATATATATGAACATAACCTGGTTAAATGAGGCCCCAAACCCAATAAAAAGGTAACGGGACTGTAAAACTGAAGGGCTGGATTCAGCTCTACATCAGCAACAACACACTTAAACAGAGCTACATCACCTAAAACAAAGATTTAGCATCTAACTGATTTACATTCATAGATTCTAAATACATATAATGGGGCTATATGCTTAAAGATAAACAGATGGATTTTAAAGAAGAAAGATGATTAAATGAGCCACTTCCCCCTTCTTAATGCTGGTAAATACCAAAAGAAGGTATGGAAAACGTATATACCAAACGATTAAGCCAGTGTATCCTGGCTGGGGTAAAGTAAGGCACAAAAATACAAAAAAAAAAAAAAAAAAGGAGAAAGAAAAAGGGTCCATACAGATAACCTTCTGATAGTGGTCTGGATCCCCTGAAGGAAATGGGAGGACAGACAACATAAAGAAAGATGGGGGATGATCTGAGTTTCAAAACTTAGAAATTCTTCATCTTAAACCGTTTCTCACTGGCCAAACAGGGTTAAGGTTTTTAAAACGGCACAATTTCACAAAGCTACACGAGCAAAGGAATGCTAAAGTGGGTCGGGAATAATCTAGATAGATCGTTTTATGCTAGAGGGCATCTTTGTGTTCAAAGTTGTTCAGCTGCCTCTACTTTGCTTCCAATACATGTTTTGGTTACAGAATGTTGCCCATTTCAAAATGCTAACATTTTGTCTAAACAGAAGGAATGATTAGGTTTTGCTGCTGAATGTTTATTATAAACTATGATATAGATATATATATATATATATAGATATATATATATATATATATATATATATATATATTTAAAAATCTAAATGCTCAAATTAGATGGTTTACCTGAGAACTGCTAAGATTTTCTAATCAATGTTAGCAAATAAGAAATGAAGCCAACCTGCCCATTTTGAAAACAACCAAATTGTGCATGAAGTTGGCACAATCCATCTACTAGGGTTGGACATCAAATATGAAAATATAAAACAAAACCAAAAGCTTGGCTCTGTTAGTGTATTTAGGACAAGAAACGACATTGTATGGATCTGATCTGAAATCTAAACTAAATCCGAAGGGAAAATAAATGGGCAACATCCTCATGAAAAAAAAAAAGTTACCAACAGTATAAATATGTTATGAAGGCCATTTTCACTGAAGGCAACAAGAACAGTAGCGTTCAGTTGGCAGGGTGCGAGGAAGGACACTCAGATGGTGGACTTTGAGAAGGACACTCGAAGGTGATGGTTCTCTCCTAGGTCATGGTTGTGGAACTCGATGAGGCACTCGATCGCCTCCTCCACAGAGCCCATCTGGATCAGGGCCATCTTGCGGTCCTTTCTGTTAATCAAAAAATAAAAATATTAATTCTTCCGAAAAGTGTGCAGCTGTGAACAAAGAGGTTATACCTTAATTAGGTCAAACGATTACAAGAGACGTTTTTAACCTCTTAAAATAATTCAGGATAAAAATGAACTTACTGAAAGAACTTGAAGGCTTTGACTGTGGCTCCTGAGCTTGCAAAGAGTCTTTTGAGATCATCCTCCATCACCGAAGGTCTGAAAACACAATGTAAAATTGAATTTGGAAATAAAGGATAAAACTGACCCAGTTTAGTGTACTGTATAGCCCTTTAGGGTTGAATATATAATAAAAGGCAAATAAGTGCTGGCCTGAGGTCTGACTCACGGTATGTTGGAGAGGTGGAGTGTTGCAGATGGAGGGAAGATGTTAGAGTAGTTTTTGGAGCCAGGCTTCTTGAAGCGATGAAGTGGGGAGTTGCTGTAATCCTTGGTAAGACCCTGGTCCTCATGGCCTTCTCTGGGCAGCTGGACTGTCGTATGCTTCGACAACGTCACGCGCATAGCCCTGCCATGAAGACGCTGGCCATTCAGGTGGCTCATGGCTGAGAAGGGGATGGAGATAAACATCTTAGTCCATTTGGACAATTCATGAGTGCCTCAATAATCATTTGTTCCTTCCTGTAGATTTTTCTTTATGTTCTAAAATGTGGATGTAAAACTATGCATGTTAATAATACAGAGCATTGCGCTCAGGAACAAAGCTTAGCAGCTTTACCCTTTGTTTTAATATAACTTGGTAAAAATGAAGCTGCTACAATGCATGTCACTTCAGCTTTTTATTTGCAGGCAAAGAAAGTGATTTTCTTGCCTTTTAAAGTAGTGACTTTGGACAACAAAATTAAATAAACATGTTGGCTGCTTTTTGTGGAGCTCTGCTGACATAAAAAAATACAGTCTCCCTCTCTTTAAGCTCGACTGTAAAATGTAAGAGACTGAAAGAACAGATCAAGGCAAAGCGTATGGACTTTCAATGAAATTAAATGATTTTGTTTATATAATTTTAAAAACCAGATTAATTAGGTTCAACTTTTAATTCGAAAAGCTTTAAGCCAAAATGAAGTATTTTCACAATTTTTATTCAGGAAAGAAATGAAGTATCCCCAAAACAAATATATAAAAATCAGGAAAGAAATGAAGTATCCCCAAAACAAATATATAAAAATCAGGAAAGAAATGAAGTATCCCCAAAACAAATATATAAAAATCAAACTATGAGGAAAATGTTAGCAAGATTGAGAACAGGGATGGTAGAGATACACATCTTTTACCTAGCTGAGCCTGTGTGCCATCAGACATCTGGACTAGAGCGTTCTCCTTTTTATTGAACAGGATCTTCACTCTCATGACATCACCATACACGCCTATGGAAAGAGCAGAGTTTGTCACAACACGAGCGAAGTAAGAAAGTACAACACAGCATACTGGAGCCACACAACCAATCACAGCAACAAAAACGCCTTATCTAATCAGTAATCTTAGTACAGCTAAATGAACAATCTGAGGTTATATTTGCACTATTCTATTAATGATCTGCTTAATTTTGCCAACTAAACCTAGTCAAGTCCTCCATACACAAAGTACCACTAGATTATCTTTAAAAAGAAGAGGCAATGATTCGAGGACAAATCAGCAAGAGTTGCAAGATGAGTAGTTTTGATCAACTGGATCATGGCAGACGAGGAAAGTTGATTAAATGGCCGACTAAGGGCCTAAGCAGAAACATGCAGAAATAAACTACACATGCACATACCTAAACTGATTTAAAAAATAAATAAAGACACTAGAGTGGCATAAACAAAGGAAATGGCAACTCAATTCAAAAAGCAGCAGCATTTCATTTTTTTAATGCATTAAAGAAGCCCGGAAAAGTAAATAAAATATTTTTGCAAAGCTACATCGCTGGTTAAGAATCAGTTGTGTTTTGACCTTTACTCTCAGATGGAAAAAATTTTCATTTCAAATAAATAAAAGCAAAGCAACAGATTAATTAAAAGGACTCTGATCTTTAAGATAATAAAAAATGTTTTTTGCCAAAGGTCATTTAATCAAACCTAAATGAAATGCTGCAGCTTCATGTGGCGTCCCACCTTACTTTTCCTCAATCCCACAACAACCAAACCATTCAAACACCCAAAACAGACACCCCCAGCCTTAAGAGCTCTGTAGTCTGATGAACAATCAGTAGTAAAACAAATAAATAAATGAACAAAGCCAACAACATGAAACAAGACATGCCCACCTCGCCACGTAACAGTAGTAATAAAAAAAGGAGATGAAAGGATGATAACGTACCGAAAAGAATAAAGAGGCAGTGTGGCGTAACGGTCTTTAGAGACAGCAGGGGGAGGGAGCAGCGGGGTGGGGGGGCAAAAGGGGAGAGGGGACAGGGGAAAAGAGGCGGAGCGGAGGACAGTGGAGTGGAGTCGGGACATGTCCGCAGGCCACAGGCGGCGAGGTCCACAGGAAGGCCACAGTACCATGGAGGAAGTAGAGGCATGAGAATGATGGAGGACAAAGTTGGAGTTGAAAGATGATGGGATGAAGAGAAGAAATGATGGGGGGGGGGGGGGGGGGTTGTGGCAAAATCAGGGTGACCAAAGTGGTGCCAAGTTTGGATTTTTAATTTAAGGGTCACATCAAAATTAGGGAACAACGTATGGAGGGGAAAAGGGGGTTTGGGTTGAGGGAGGAGTAGTAATGGGGGGAGTGCCAGAAGGGAGGGAGGAGGAGGACCGAGGGGGACAATTGATCATGGGGAGTGCAGTCAGTTGGCAAGATATGAGGTGAGGGGGGGGGGGGGGGGGGGGGGGGGGGGGATTTAAAAACAAAAAGATGGAGAAGGGGACAGAAATAAAGAGAGAAAAGGTGAAATAAAAAATAAAAAACAAGTCAGTATACACAAAGAAATGTAGTGCTTCAGACAGTAGAGCTGGCTAAATTAAAATGCACTTTCACTATGGGAACACTAGAAGAAAAAGAAGAGAAAAAAAGATTAACAATGAAATACAGAAAAAGGCAGAGACAATATATACTTTTAAATTACACTAACTTTAAAAAAAAAAAATGATTTAATGGTTTAAATAAACGAAATCAGCTTATTTTCCAGGTGCCCACCCTTAAATTTATGTCTTTAATCAGTGCGATGATTATAGTTACATCATTAAACTGCACATTACAGTAAACACTTAAAAAGTAATATTGTCTCTCCAACAACTTAAGAATGATTTAAACTAATGGATAAAAATGAAGATATGAAATGTTAAGTGCTTTTTACTTTCTTTTTAAAAAGAAGTTAGTTTTTAAACAAACTTAAAATTCAGTGAGCAAAGTGGCAGGTCAGAAATGCAGCAGGTTTGGTCAAACACAAAGAGGTCCTGAAAGAAAGGAGCTTTTGACTTGATGCTTGCCTTTATCAAACAACAGTTTATCCTTTTACTAACATGAGGAAAAATTACCCATACTGAATATTTTTCTGAGTAAATAAACTGAAATTCACAAAACATCTCTTACTCAAAAAGCTTTTTAATTTTTTATTCAACTTTAGTGAAGTACTGACCTCAGGGTTCAGATTGCTGACCAACAGCACGTTGTGCCCCCCAGTGGCACCGAGCCCTGACAGGCCAAGCCGGCTAGCTGCGGCCGCTGCAGCGGCTGCCATGCCGGTATGACCCATACCCAGGGATGCCAAGGCACTGGGAATGCCAGGAACTGACAGACCTGTGGAAAAGAAAACAGAAATGTATTAAAATTGTATTTCTTGTGAGAATAAAGCCAAGAATGGGACTGATTATAAAGTATACTAAAACATATTCAGAGATGCACCAGGCAAACGGGCTGTGACTGAATATGAAAACTGATTTGTCAATGCACCACACCAGTTCAACCATGTCGGCGCCGTCCAAGCTGTTACAACAGACAGTTAGGTTTAAGTGGCTAACAGATCGTTTAGTTCCTGCTATATCTTACTGCCAAAGGAAGTTCTGTATTCCACCACAGGAATGTTTTAAAGAACTGATTTGGAGCATAACTGAAAGGCTAATGACACCCTTTCTGAAATCCCAGCTTAGGAAAGGTAGGCTCAACAACATAGTCTACTACTGGCTTGATAAAACTACTAAAACATTTCTCTTATTGACTGTAGCACCACATTTAATTAAGTCTATAGTGCTTTTATTGATACAAGTTACTCAAATGTGAGAAACTGACTATAGCTATGTTTTACAGGAGAGGCAGCATACTGGGACTGAAGTATGGGTTGGGAGCAAAGTTTCTCAAGTTGAATTCAATATTTTCAGGACTAAACCTTCCTGCTAATGGCAGTGATGTTAACCACTAATTGCTAATCAAAGATTAAACAAAAATTAGGTGGTTATAAAACTGTAATGACAGTTTTATTAAAAGCCTGATGCATTTTTACATTTGCTTTAAATATAATTCACTGTAGTATTTTTTAGACTCCAGTTCTTGTCCAGAAGCAAAACACCCTGATATAGGAAACACTACAAAACAATGATTGGTGCACTTAACTTGTAAAAGTTATGTAGCAAATGAATGCATGTTATACTGACCAGCCTGCTGGAAAGCAAACGTTGGGGGGAAGCCATGAGCTCCACCAAAGGGAGAAGCAGAGATTATACCCGGTGCAGCTGATGAAACAAAGAAAATAAAAAAGTCACCAATAAAACTTGATTCTAACAAATGAATAATTTAGAAGAGAATCTAAAAATAGAAGATCAAATCTGATCGGATCGTCGGTTGTTGGATGGATACAAAACGATTATTATTTACACCCCTACTGACCATATGCCTCTATTAATTAAACTAAGCTCTAAAGCCGGGCATACACTGTCAATTTTTGAAATTGACTCCAGGTCAATTTTCCAGTCGTGTGAGAATTTTTTCGATCGTGCATCCTGAGTAGTGTTGTATACAGAGGGTATTTTATGCTCCTGAAGCATAGCCTCTGCAACTGTCAAATCTGTCTCTGTGCACAACCACTTCTGATGGTCGCAAGCCAGCGAAGACAAAAAGCAGCTGTGATTGGTCCTTGGTATGTCTTTACAGCTGTCTGAGTGGTTGTCCTTCTCTATTTGGTGTCAGGACGCGCCATTAAAAAAAAAACGAGGAACTACTAACAACTCTACGGAAGGTTATTTAAAGCGGTTTGTAAGCACAACCACTTGTAAGATCACTCAGACAAATTGTATAAATAAACCCCCTTCGATGTCTAGCAACTCTAGACCAATCTCCGTGACATCTTGCAGACGCGGCGCTGAAATTCTCGTGAGTTCTCGAAGAGGCTCCCTTTTGCGCTTTGGCGGGAAACTGCTGTGCGTCCCTAGAAATTCCAGACCGACAGGGCAGAAGCATATTGCAAAACTGGTTCGCAACCAGACCCAAGCGACATTTGTAGGCATTTAAGTCTAATCTGTCTTTAACAAGGGCCGATTAGCCTCTCAGGACCACCTCCCAATCAGGAATTGTAAGGTCGGGAGAAAATCAAACATGTTTGAAATTCAGTTGGCCGTCGTAAGGTGTTTGTGGCCAAATTCTGCTGCTGGAGCAGAGCTACAATCGTCTACGATCCGATTTACCAGAAACTGTACATGTGCAATCAAGGGCGTTCTTTGTCTTACCAGTGACATCTCTCGGCGCCGAGTGGTTTTGGACATTCAGTGTGAGTAAGATCGCATCAGAGCGTCGGGCCATACGAAGTAAGAACAAACATTGTGAGCTTTTAACTTTTAAACCCTGAAGCTTCGTGGCACAGTTTGAGCTGTACCTGCATGCAACGATCGAAATGTTGTGCAGCGTATGCCCGGCTTGACAAGTAAAACCTAACCATCCGTTAGACATTTTATATGGGTAAAACCCAGAACCAATTTATGCTCAGACTCACTGGAGGAGTTCTGGATAAAGAATATGTAGAGTCAAGTCTTTCCACTCTTAAAAAAAAAAGTTGTTCAGTTTTGCCTTATAGTGATGACCTATTGTTTCATCCACTGCCTGGAGGACACCTGTCTGGTCACCAGTTTTCCTCATGGTTTTGTAGCCTATCCAAGATCTTTTAGAAGCTAAGCAAATCTTTAGAGGCGTCGTTGGTTAAATTATGGTTAAAAGCAAATTTTTCGAGAACTTAGAAAACTCATTTATAATATCTACATTTTCTGTGACACTGAATTTGAGGATTTCATCACCTAGAAACCATGGTCATCATAACAAGAAACAAGTGACAGAAAATATAACAACCAAAATCTTTCCCCCGGTACACATTTCAGAAGTAAAGACTAATGATAACAAAATACATATATATATATCTTACAAAAGGCTGCAGCTGCCATTGTCTGGTGGTCGAGTGAGGGGTGTGAATCTGCTGTAGGAAGGTCAGGGCGGGTGTAGTCCCTGCTTTTGTCATTGTTGTACTTGACATTGAGGCTTGTCAGCTTCGAGAAGCTGATTCTCAGGGTACAGCAAGCATTGTAGATGTTCTGGCCATCTAGAGACTAAAAACAAAAATCAGTTATTAGAGGTTTGCTGAAATATTTGGTCTAACAACTTAGAAAATGTTCTGCAAAGCCATTAGATAGATTAAGACCTGTTTTATCAAAGCAAATTTAAACAAATATCTAAAGATATGTGAACCAGTGGAGAAAACATCAAGTGAAACCAGTCTTACCAGTTTAGCATGCTGAGCTGTCATGGCATCAGCATACTGGATCAATGCCTGGAACTGGTTGTTCTTGGTAAAAGTGATGATCTTGAGCACAGTTCCAAACTTTGAAAAAATCTGAAATCAAAAAGGGGAGTTTAAGATTTCTTTCAAAACATAAACATTTTACCAGTAAAAAAGTACTAAAAGACAAACAATTTGCTTTAAAGATTAATAATTTACTTCAGTCAACATCCCCATTCTTTTACCATAGGGGGAGAAAAAAGAAAAGTCATAAACTAAATATTTTAGTTTATTTTTAGTAGCTCAGTAGGTGGTAGTCTTCCTGTGCACAAGTTAGCATAATCAAAAGCAGGCTTCTGTTTATCCCTGGCATTGATAAAATGCAGCCAGCCAATTTTACACACATGAGCTTTAGTTACAAAAACACTTTCTAATACGATGGGGGAAATAATAAACGCAAAAATATGTTGGACCCAAGATCACTATTCAAAATTGTGTTCCAATAATCTAAGATCATACATATCTTTAATAAAGATAAATATATCTTTAAATATGGCCACAGTGGTACTACCTGATGCAGGACGTCCAGGGTGACGGGGTAGAAAAGGTTTTCCACAATGACTCTGAGAACAGGGCTTTGGGCTACGCCTCCTGCCATACTGCTTGCATCTGTAGGGATGGCCATACTCGCCATTCCACCTCCATGCAGGGCGTTGACTGCCTGCAGAGCTGCCTGGGCACGCTGAAAGAAATAGATATTATCTCAGTTTAGTCGTTGAAATGGGTGGGGGGGCTTGAACTTGTCAGGTTGCAAGAAAAAGCTAATTGGAAGGGGGTTAATAAAAAGGTTCCTACACATCAAAACACAAATCAAACTCACTACTCAGCATTATGGCAGATGGGTCTATAGAGGTCAAGATTTAAATAAGATATGAAGAAAATGGAACAGATAATAGGAAAATGTAACAGGGAAGGTATAAGAACAGCAATAGGGATGGGTGCTAAAACCTGGTATGAAAATGGCCCTGGGGTACATCAACAAGCTTCAGCCTTATTGGTTATTTTAGAGGTTTTATTAAGGTGGTATTTCCCTTATTACAGAGTTTCCAAATCAGATAACATTATTCTGCCCATCTCCTGTTCCTGGACTGAGTGGAGGGGCCAAAGCTCCGCCCCCAGCTGTTGGTCTAACTTACTCTAAACAACACTTGTAAATTTAGTGACTTCATCAGGATAATTTGAGGCTTTACAGACACATTTAATTTTTTCCCTAAAGTGACAAGCAATATTCTATATCCCTTAGTTCTATGGCAGTAAGGACACAGATTAGTTTGACATAAGGATGGAACGATAACGGGGGGAACAAAAATACAAGGAACCAGTAAGGGGACAAGAGAAAAAAGGAATAGGGATGGACAAGGGATAGATTGATGAAAAAAGGAAGGAAGGGGTGAATACACGAGGACATTGGGGTGGGGTCAGTAGCAAATGGACTAGGAGGGAAGGAATGAATAACATTAATTAGAAAGAAGTTTCAACAGAAATCTGGATCCTATTGTCTGCAGGCAACATGTGCAATTTGACCCTTTAAATTGACATTTTTACTTTAAATGAAGAAAACCCCCAAAGCCAACATGATTGCATGGTTTAACGGTCACCCTTACTTACCACTTGGTTAGGAGAGTTGTCTGTCTTGAGCTCCTTATGAGTCGAGTACTGCATGTAAATGGGTTGGTTTCTGATGACAGGAGTGACAGAAGAATAGTAGCTCACCATCGTCTGTGCACACTCTTCACTGTTAAGCTCCAGAAAGGCCTGCAGGGGGAGCACCAGAGAAAAGACATTAGTGCCCCACAGTTAACGCTCTTTGATGGCACATTTTATTTGCTACAAATTATTACGTTTTACCAAGAAAAAACAAAAACACAAAGGGTTAAAAAATCATCCCATTTGAATTTTTAAAACAAGCAGCACATCTAAAACCAAAGCAATAGGAATTAGACTTTCAGGTCATTATAGCAAGTGGACCCCTTATGTCTAGCTTTGGGGTAAACCTTTTATTAGACCAGTACTGCAAACCTTACAGGTTTGGTAGAAAGACCTGCATGTACTTTTCCTTACCTGATTTTTCCCTTTCAACATCAGCAGATTAGTGACCTTCCCAAAAGGCAGTCCCAGGCTTATAACCTCAGCCTCGTTGATGTCATTGGGCAGTTTGCGTACGTGGACCACACGTGATGGGACACCAGGACTGCGGACATCTCCTTTGAATTTTTTGCTGTCGTTGCCATTGGCTGCAGGAGAAAACAGAGGTTGATACAATCAGGGAGGGAACATAAGGCTCTGGTTCTTTGTGAATAATGGATTGAGCGTCATGGCAACACAAACAAGACAGACACTAGGCACTTAAAAAAAAAAAAAGGATTAAACCTTTCCAACCCCCTCCCTACCTGAGTTCATGATATAGGGTCCGTTGGATATGCAGGAAGAAAAGAGTTCGTCAGATCCCCTCTGCATGAGAAAAAATATAAATAAAAGCTTATTATACTGGGTAACAGATGAAAGCTATAGCAGGTGAGAAGCACAGATCTCACGTTACTCAGCAATTGAATGAAAACCAAGGAAGTAATGTGATAACCAAGAGATCTACCAGAAACAATGAAGAAGAAACTCCACCCTTCTCACTAGAAACAATTCTGTTGCCAAACTTGTCGAGTGTAAGAGTCTATATCCCTTCTCACTATCCTTCTACAAAAGAGTTTGTAAATTAACCCTTTTTAAGAACTGAACTAAGGTTTGGCAATATGCTATGTGTATAACAAGGATAATACAAACATTCTTTGCCAGACACTTCAACTGAGAGAACATTTTAGTCAGTGAAAAAAAAAAAAATCAGCTTGAAACCAAGCGGCAGCATCATGTTGGGCTGATTGTGTGAATTGGTTAGAGTTATGGAGTACAGATTCGCCTTAAAATAGGACAACCCCCAAAAGACCATTTGACACTGGAGCAAAGGCTAATTTTCACCTAAATCACAATCCAAACACGCACTGCAAATTATTTCTTTTGATAAAAGCGTATTAAAGTGAAAAAACTAAAGTCCACACCTTAATCTAATAGGAAAACTGTAGCAATTTTTTTTTTAAATGCCATAAAGTGACTTTTTATTTCAACTTTATATTTTTACAAGCTACAAGTTAACAGAAACACTGACAAGCAGGGCAATATGGGAACCGCTTGCTGTGTGTCCTGTTCAACTTCTCCTTAGGAAATATAAAGTGCTGTTTCAGGCCTGTTTCCATGGCTCAGTGTATTTGGAGCTCACCATGATGAAGTATAGAAGTCACAAGAAGTGGCTCAGCAGTCTGGGCTCTACAATGGCTGTCCTGTTCAGGCTGAGACTAGGGCCATTGTTACAGAGCACTGCACACATATGGAGCCGCAACGAGACTCTAGTATTTGAAGAGCCCAGTGCGCCTTTAACAGCAGCCACCAAAAAACAGGTTTGCTAGCATTCTTCTCAAACTTGCACATCCAAATAATCAAGGTGCAGTCAATGAAAATATTCAAGTTTGAGAGAGGGAAGGGGCTGGACTGAAGTTCTGAAAAGGGACAGTTACTAGCCATCCCTACAGAAGCAAAGAACTGATTATACGTAACAATTATAATGGCCAGAGATGTAAACCTATAACTTAAAGACAGGAGCGACTCTAACATGCTGTCAGACTTTTTTGCCACTTTGCTTCATTGAAGGTTCAGAACCGTATAGTCATTCATGTTTCATCCCCATCAAACAGTGTAAATAATCCAAGACTTGGTCTGGGACCATTTAAGTTTTTGCTCTGACATGCCTATACTTCAGCAATACTTCTTTTGCAAATAGCAGCAAGACTTAAGAATAGACAGAGATGCCCTCTACAGGATGGTTGTGACATCACTGAAAGAATCCCTTCAGAGCAGAAGTTATGTTTATGGGATGGAACAAACTTTAATCTAATAATCCATTAAATGGACAAATCCAACAATCAGTGTCTGCAATCAGTTTCATCATGTAGAAAAACTACACAATATCCATACTTTAAGAATTCTTTCAAACGCAGAAGGTATAACAAAAAAATCTATCCTGAGAATCAGCGAGCCTCGGCTAGAGGATCCTTTCAAACCAAATTAACCCTTCAAACAAAAACAACTAAATTCTAAATAGGTCTTGGTGAAGCTCAAAATATTAAGATGTAAAAAAGGTTAGGGCTGTAATACTGGGGTCAAAAGTTCCACCAAGAGACAAAATGCAAACGATTGTAAAAAGGTGTGATGGGAAGGGAAATAAAAGAAGCTAAACTTTCAACAGATAAATGGAGATAATAGAGAGAAGCCCAATCCGACTCGGGTGAATAATTCAGCAGACATTCTAGAAACAGCTTGAGGTTTCTTAAAAGATTGTGGCCCAGATGTTAAAGTGTAAAAAGAAACTAGCGTTAAAGTAGGCCGTGATCCTCAGTGCATTTTCAAAGCCCTTTCATCTAAAGACAGTGAAATGTGTCTCAGCTTGTTTACTCATTTTGTTTGGGCTGGACTAGCAGTGTAATAGTAACCTTCAGGAAAAGTTGACACATCGCTGGCTAACACCCCAAAACAGCAAAACATCTTTATGTTAACAGCTATGGTCAGATGTCCATTTTTTACCGCAGCAGCATTTGGGAAAAACTTATCATATGGAGATATTTAGCCGCATTACAAGGTTAAAGTGAACATATTATGTGGTTCTAGTTAGAGGCCGCAGAACAAAGACCTCACAGGAAAAGCCTAAGAGGAGAAGGCTACAGGTAGAAACATGTTTCTACTACAAAAAGCCTTCTTCAGAAGAAGGGGGGAGGGAACAGGGCTTCAACAGGGGGGCTAAAAAGGGGGAGATTGGAATGTGACCACAGCATGCCAGACGTTGTGCCCAGACAGAATAATTACAGATTCGACCCAGGCAAGGCTCCATAAGTCGGCATCATCATCATCACCACATGGTGTCATGAGCAGAAAACAGAAAAAGTTTAAACTCCTATCTTCTACTGGTAAGGATTTTAAAAAAGGGAACGGCATCTGAGTATTCTTTTGTCAAAGATGTCTGACTAAAATGAATAGTGTCGGGTGTGTCCATGTAATAGACGCATGTAGCAGAGATCTTGTTTAAACACTGTAAAGACCTTTGGTCAAGAGTCTAAGCGCTGCTGTGGGAGGATGGTTATGACTCTGAGTTACAATCAATTAGACACCCCCACACCACCGTTACCAGGGATCAGTGCCCAGGAAAGTATTTTTATAGGGGGTACATTATTGAACCCACACAAAGCATGACCTACATTAATGCAACACTAAAATGATTTCTATTCCCTTCCCTATAACAGCTTAGTGACACTATGTTTTGGTAATGCTCTCCCAAAAAACACAAAAAAACATCTTTTGGCCTAAATCAGGCGTCTCAACATTCCAGTAAGGCCGTGAGACCATGCAAATAACAGGAAGTGTCATTTCTACGGGAACAAATGCAAAACAAACATAGGGCAGGAAAACAAGGAGCCCCGCCTATGAAAAATGCTTTTAACTAAATTATTGCACATTCAGCATTCCCAGTCCTGGGTTGAACAGTGAGTTAAACAAGCTGACAGTTCAGATGTACATAATAATGTTTCAATACAGTCTCGTCAGCAAACTGAAAACCTATGACATGCAGGCAACTGTTACAACAGCCCTTATAAAGAAAGCTGAGGCTGTGTGCATGAGAACTTGATGTGTTTTTCTTCAAGAAAATTAATTTGTCTCCTTGCCAAATAGTACCAACACATTCCTTTCTCCTTAGATTTGTTCCCATTTGATTAAAACCATAGTGTTCATCATGTTTTTCTTCCTATTTATTAAGTTACCAAAAAATAAACAAACATACAAATGCACACAACTCATCTACAATGTAATAAGTATAAATGAATCTAAAGATTTACCCCATGCATCCAATTAAGAATTTCAATCTGGTTAGAATAAGTATTTATGCAAACTGAGATATACAACATAAATAGACAAGATCCACTCGGGCCAAGTTCTCAAAAGCTACAACAAACATCTTCACAAACGTCATGGATTACCAAAAGGTATTCATTCACCGTTTTCTATAAGGTTCCAGATACGAATTGGGGTTTAGAAGACAATCTTTTATTTAAAAATGTGGATAAAAATGTGCAGTGGTGCATATAAATACATGCTATTGGTAGAGATATTTAAAAGATAAAGCATCGATTAGTTTGTACGCACTTAATCAATTGTTAGAATGATCACCAAATCAATTATTTTGATTAATTTACGTGGGAAATCCAACAAATTCCTACTGCAGGGCGATTCACTGATGCACATTTAATGTTAACAGAAATTTAGACCCATTAAGGAAAACACAAAGTAAAGCTAAAAGTAAAATTTAAGATGGGTTTTTTAATAAATTGAGACCAAATACTCGTGAATCTAACACATTTAATCATCTAACCCTGGAGATGCATAAATAAACTGTTCCATTTCTGATCTGGCAATCAGAGGTCTTAAAAGACTGAGAGTGCGGCCAATAAAAGCTTTTATATAAGTGCTAAACTGTCTAGCCCTAATCAACAGCCAAAAGTCAATACAAAGCAGTAAAAACAAAAAAGTCAAACGTTGCCTACCTTTGTGCCAACTGATATGTCATGGACACTGCTGTGAAAGAAAAAAGGAAAGTTCAACATTGGCAGCTGATAAAAACGACAACAGATCATTAAATTTTTGTTAGGAAAATAAAGTTATCCGTATAAGTGAAAGTTGTGACTTCCTCCTTTTAAGATCGGTTATTTAAAATGTGGCGGAGGAAGTTAAAATGAGACATTCAGTGCCCCCCCCCCCCAAAATAAATAAATACTTACTCAATTTCAGGGACGTAGCCGGATCCCAGAGGGTACAACTCAGTGGCGTCTAAACGGCTAAAAGATACAAGCACAAAAAAAAACTTCAGGAGTGGAAAATTTACAACAGATAACAATGACACCAGAGTCGATTAAGTTGTTTTTCGCTTCACACCTTTTCAGCCCTTTTGTTGAAATCGGTTAAACTAGCAGAACACGTTTGAACAACACAATACTCTTATTACTCTCGGATAAGATAACTTGATTAAATCAACGTGAAATGTTGAGGCCAGACATCTTCAACATGGCCCTGAAACTCCGCGGACAAATGAATGCGGAAATGGGACACGTTGCTTAAGCTAACCTCTCGAGCTCGCGTAAAAATCAACTTACAAAGGTACAGTTAGCCACTGAGACTGCGAGAAAACAACAAACCGTTGGTGAAAATTAAGCCAATAAAAAAACTATTTTGCGTTTCATCAAACAAATCTTTCTTTGGAGTTGTGTTTGCACATAACAGGCATATATAACAATTAAAAATACCAACTTGTAAAGAATAGCAGTGACGCTACCAAAAGCTAGCAGCTAGTTAGCGTTTCCTCCTGCTAACTGTTGCATGTTTTGAAGAGGGAAAAAAAAGTGTTTGGGGTAAAGTTTTACCGCTCCAATGGTTAAACAGCGGCAACCAGAGAAGTCAAAACACTCACATAAACGCTAAACATGCTGTATACATTCACTTTTAAACGATTCTTTTAGAAAATTAAGTATTTAAGTAAGCTTCTTTTTACTTACCCGTCCATTGCACAAGAAAAAAACTGCAGGTCTGAAGCGAAGGTAGGGCGGCAGACTTGCTTGATTTTCTTACAAAATGGCTGAACACGCCGAGGCGAGCGCTGATTAGTCCAGGCAGCTCCAGGAGCCAAAAAGGGGAGGAGACAGGTCCAAAGGCGAGCGCTGATTGGCCAAGACGACCATCATTTTGATAAAAAAAAAAGAAGGCCGCGGCAAAATTTCCAGCAGGATCTATGAAGTGGTTTAGGTTTTGTTTGAGTCCAAAGTGATGGGTAACTGCGAATGAGCTCACGAAAACACTGCAGCGCATTTCCTAACGTGTCTCAGTGTGTAAGAGAGTCTACCCACTTGATTCTACAAACTAACAGTTGGGAATATAAAGTGCATTTACTGTCTACATATTTCAACGAAGTTAAACTCCTCTTCTAAGTAAAAAGTAAAAAATCTTTCCACTGCAAGGCTTTTCATGCTGGAAGGGAGCCCCACACCCCAGCCTGGAGGTTTTCGTCTTTCCTTACATTTATATCAATCTCCCAATCAGGGGCGGATTTAGGAAATTTGGAGCTGTAGGCAAAGACAGGCATGGGGCCCTCTCAATTGAGAAGACAACACATAAAACAGACCCATTATACACAAGAGTGTAACTTTGTGTTGCAGACATCCCAAGTCTCCTGGAAGTTCCAGGAGTCTCCCTGATATCGGTAGTTGTTCACGGATGCCAGCGAGTCAGATAAATTATCCCAGATTTTAGACTGCGCAGTGGTGTTTTTTAATGTGAGTGAGAGCGGCCATGCAGGCAAAACAATAATTTGTGCATCATGTGCAGATTAGAACTACTGAGACTGCGCAGACAACAAGAGAACGCGGGGTGTGGGGAGGAGGTTGCTGGTGAAACCTGTGCAGCGTATCTGTCCAAAACGATGCTCTGTTCAACCAGCATTCCAGGCGACTGGTTGATCAGAGAGCTGATTGGGTCCGTCTGCTAGGTTTCTCTGGGTTACTCTCTAGTAGTCACCTAGTTACCACTCAAAGCTGTGCATCCTGTGAAACAGCAGAGGTTGAATCCTCGAGTAAAAAAACAAAAATATCAGACTAATTTTACAGCAGAATATACTAAAGTATATCCACATCTAGTGAAGGTGAGGAACAGTGGCGGATCTAGACCAAATGTACCAGGGGGCCAGCATGTTTTCATGGGGGCCCAGAAAAGCATGAAATAAAAAAAAAAACAGGGCAAGAGATTTAAATATATTAAGAGAGCTGCATGAAGTGAAATTTATTTTCAGTTAGGTTCGATAAAAATTCTATCACTTATGAGGTCAATATGCATTTCTAATTTAGGAATTTTACATATTTTTGACTTAATTTAAGTTAAAACTACCGTTTTCTATCAAATTTAGATTAGAATTCAAGAAAAACTTAAATTCATCTGTAAAAATTAGAGCATTTTTTTTTTCTATTTGTTGTGAAGAAAAAAACATTTAGCAGATAAAAACTGGGATCCTATCTCAGTACCACTGAAGCTATCACCTTACTGTTTTTGAATAGTTAGTAAAACAGAACTTGTAAAGAAAAATAGTGAAATAGATCCAAATGACCTATCAGTAACCATGTCTGTTCCAGAGCATATCATCAATAGAATTTCTTGTAAGTATTATGTCTTCAGTACAGGGGCCATAACAGGGGCCAGGACATGATCTACAGGGGCACTGGCCCCCCTTGGCCCCTGTCTAGAACCGCCCATGGTGAGGAATGATGACACAGTGGTGACTGTATGCTGAAGTCCCATGAAAAACAGAAAGCACAACCGATGTTCAAGACTACAAAATCGAAAGTATTAAAAATAAAAGACCAATACTGTTCTGTTTTGTGTTTAAGAAACTACTGTTAGTTGTTCCTAACTACTGTTGCCCAAAAACATTAATGTATATAAAAAAAATACCGAATAACAGCCAATTCCAATGCCAAAGTTGATAAAGGATGCATCCCTAGAAGTACAAATTCATTCCATCCATCGTAAAAAAAAATCTGGATATGCTGCATTTTAAATATAGTATATCATTTTTTTTCTTGTAAGCTTTGTGATAAACTTGGAGATATATTTTATTACATGTTGCATATCCCAGTAAATCTGTTTCACCTTTAAATCTGTTGCTCTCCCTACTTCTCTCTGTGCTCTGTTTAAAGAGATTTATGAAACTCTTTATGAATATAATGATGCCAGAAACAACATTTCAAGATATGTAGAAGCTCTGCAGTCTGATTCTGTCTATTCAATAAGAAAACATTTTGTTAATTTTAACCCGTAACTGGAAATCATGGTCCTCTGAGAAGCCAAGATTTTTTCAACAAGTAAAGAAGAACATTTACACTGTTTTCTCAAGCTTCTTGCATTATATTATTAACTTGTATAAACTTACAATCTGTTGCTGTTTTTAGCTGAAAAAGCTCCGTATCTGTAACGAATGGATTTTTCGGTGGCATCTCTAATTTATTTTAAGCAACCTGTCTCCTATCTTTTACTTAAACATGCATCAAAGTAGCTGCCATTTGGTGCTGCTGTGTTTCTCTCCTTGCGACCGCAAATCAGATGTCTGAAAGTAACAGATACAATCATGTTAAACTGAGAGACGGGACAAGGAGCAGCGCGAGAAAGGAAAAAAACACGGACTCAAAACTCTCTGAATACATTGAGCTGCATCCAACTGCATGAATCATGAGCAGACAAGAGAGAGGAGAGCAGGAGGCGGGGTTACGAATCTACTCGCTAGGGAGAGCAGAGTTCGGTGCTTTTATATGTTGTCGCCAAAGTCTCCAGTAGCAGAATAAAAGTAGCAAGATTTAGCACTAGGACCTTTTTTGAAATAAAAAGTCTGAAAAGTCACTAAATACAGCGACAAAAGCAACAGTGCTCTTTGCACTGTTTGTTTTCAAATGGTTTCCTGCTGTCTGTGTGGATCTTTCTGAACATGTGCAGTAAAATGACTGATCCAATGTGGTGGACACTGAATGCATTCTGATGGCATTTTAGAGAAAGGATTTTAATCAAAAACAAAATTAATGTGCACAAATAAGGAATAGTTGTATTAAGACTCCGACAATCTTCTGCTGTCCAGAAAAATAATCATCCCCAGCATGATGATGCTTCTGCCACATCAAGTGGTGGATGCTGGGAAATGTACCATACTGCAAAAGGTTCAGTTTTGGTCTAATCTTACTATCTTAAGCACTCACTTGCTTTCTGCAGCAAACTCAATGCCACACTCTGTACATACAGAGTTTAGAGTGCAGCAGTGATCAAATGTAAACATGGTGATCAAATATAAACATAAGACTGAGATTTGATTTACAGTTTTCCAACATTCAGCACTTTTTTCAGATAGTAAATTAACATTTCTATTCCTTAAAGTGCAGCAGTGATCAAATGTAAACAATTTTGGAGAAAAACCATGGTGTAAAAAACACATTTACATTCAGAGCATTAATATATATGCAGTATTTTTGGTTTGGTGTTGTCAGTGTGATGCAGAGTCTGTGACATGATTTAGAGTTTTTTCAACAGTTCAGCAGTCTGATGGGGTGGGGAAGAAACTGTTGCAGAATCTGCTAGACGTGCATCAAATGCTGCAAAGTCTCTTCCCAGAGGGCAGCAGGGAGAACAATCCAGCAACAATGGCTGTAAAAACAAAACATTTCTATAACATTATATTGGGCCCTATCAGTTAGAGGTAATTAAGACATTCAGGGTTTTATTTAGACGTATAGGGTTCACTACAATTACATACAGAGCTTTTTAGGCTTTTCAGATCCAGTGTACTGTATATGCCATCTATTTATTGTGGTTACTTATCAGTGGTTTATATTCAGTTTTTTTATATATATTTGGCCACAAAAACATCCGTAATGCTCAATGCAGTTATGAAAGAAGCATTTTTGCTATTGTATTTTTCTCTTGAGAGGTTATAATTTATGATTCAAATCTTTAATTACGTCTAACAAATGCACAAGCTCAATCTTTTGAGCTAATTTGGGAATTTAACACTTCAAACATCGTTATGAAAGCCACAAAGACAAATGTAAAGGTCACCTGGAACTCCCTGAGGACCAATAGAAACTCCCAGAGGGGTTGAACTATTCAGGAAGGATTGCATGATACTGAATATAATGGGTGAGGAACAGCACCAGTTTAGGTGGGGTAAAGGTGGGTGTAAACAGATATTTAGTTTCAGGTCCTGAATGAAATTGTTTATTTTTTATTTCTTCTAAAAAATTGCTTAAACAACAATAATACAAGTATATACAACAAATATGAAACCTTAAAACCTATTTCCAAAAAGTAAAACAAGCTAATTTAGATTCAAGATAATTATCAAACATTTTTTAAAATAGGCCTATTTATATTATATTCTGCTATTGACATATTTATTGCTATTTACTGTATGTATTGCTTCTGTCTCCTTGAGCCCCAGTTCAGCAAATGGCCGCTCACACTGAGCCTGGTTCTGCTGGAGGTTT